GCATCGCTATTAGTTTTGCTTTAGTCATCTTTTAAAGGAGATTTTTAAAAGACAAAATCTTATATTTATACACATATTTGTCATTTCTAGTGATATTCATTATTTTGTGTAGCTTTAAGTTTCCATCTTGTATCATTTTCCTTGTGATTATCAACTTTTACTTTGTATATTTGAAAATATGCTATTAAACGAATTCAGGTTTTGAAATCTCTTCTTGGTGAACTGAAACTTAAACATTATGAAGTGATCATCTTTCTCTGTAGTAATACCTTTGCCTTGAAGTCTATTTTGTTTCATATTTGATATAGCTATATCAGCTTTCTTTTCCTTAGTATATCTATACTCTTCCTATACTTTATATTTCAGCCTCTCTATTGCCTTGTTTCCTATAAGCACCATATATTTGCATTTTAATTTTTTGTTGTTATTTTGACGAGTCTGAAAATCTTTGTCTTTTATTTGGAGCTTTCAGTCTATTTCCATTTATTATAATTAATGATATTTGAGGTCTTGCTTTCCATCTTATTTTGTGATTTTATTTTCCCATCTTCTCTATATTTTCCCTTCTATTTCTTGCCTTTTTATGTTTAGTTGCATATCTTTTGTCAATCCATTTTTCCCCTTTTACTTATTTAGCAGTTATATGTAGGCCCTCCCCATTCACAGGGGTATCTCCCAAGACCCCCACGGATATCTGAAACCAAAAAATAGTACTGAACCCTGTATATACTGTTTTTCCTATACGTACATACCTATGATAAATTTGAATTTATAAATTAGGCACAGTAAGAAATTAGCAATAATAAAATAATTATAACAATATACTGTAATAAAAATTATGTGAATGTCATTTCCTGCTCGCTCACTCTAAAAGTCTTGTTGTACTGTACTCATCCTTCTTCTTGTGATGATGTAAGTTGATGAAATGCCTGTCTACATGATGAGATGAAGTGAGGGAAATGGTGTAGGCATTGTCGTGTAGCATTAGGTCTGACAATAATTTGCTTCTGGAACTTGACCGTAGGTATCTGATAACATAGAACATGAAACTATGGATAATTGGGGACTCCTATACATTCTGTTTGTATTTCTAATCAATTTTTCTTGGAAACTATAACATGAATATTTAATTTATGCAAGACTAAATTTAATTATTTCATTCTCTTAAAATTGATATCATTGAATTCATATTTTAATTCATATTGAATTTACATTTTAATTTCACCTTGTTTTTACACTGTTAGTGTTATCATTATTTTATACAGCAATGTGTTTGCCCTATCCTGACCTTTTTTCTTTTGAGTGCTTCCATCTTGTATCTCTTCCCTTCTTTTTTTTTTTTTAAGATTTTATTTATTTATTCATGAGAGACAGAGAGAGAGAGAGAGAGAGAGAGAGAGAGAGGCAGAGACACAGGGAGAAGCAGGCTCCAAGCAGGGAGCCTGATGCGGGACTCAATCCTGGGTCCTCAGGATCACTCCCTGGGCTGAAGGCAGCGCTAAACCACTGAGCCACCCAGGGATCCCCATCTTTCCTTCCGATTTAGATGCATCCTTTTACATTTCTTTTCATGAAAAAAGAACTGTTTTTTTGTCTGAAAAATATTTTATTTTACTCTCATTCTTGAAAATCATTTTCTCCAGATACAGAACTCTGGTTTAGTGATAATTTTCTTAAAGAACATTAAAAATATGCCATTATTTTTTGCCTTCTGTTGTTGCTATTGAGAAGTCACATGTAATTTTAACTCCTACTCTTCCAATTTGCTGCTCTTACAATTTTATTATTTGCTTTCTACACTTTTACTATGAATGTGTCTAGATGCTTACTTTCATACTTTTTGGGATTTCTTGGGCCTCTTGAATCTGTGGATCACTGTCTTCATCTTCATCAGGTATCTTGTCAGATATTCTCTTTGCCTCTTTTTCTGTCATTTCTTCTGAAACCCTGATTAAACAAAACTAAACTTCCATGTATTCCCCACATATCTTTTAACATTCTTCTTTATCCTTCCTCCTTTTATGTCTGGGATACATTCTTATAATTTCTTCTGATGTGTCTTTCACTTCACTCCTTCTGTCATGCCTAATCTGATGCCAAAATTATACATTGTGTGTTTAATTTGACTGTTGTATTTTTTTAATCTTTAGAGATTTGATTTGTTCCTTTAAAAATACCCTGACACATTTATAGTTTCTTTTACACTACAAAGATTTCCAACTTGCCATTTATTCCCACACAACTAGTAAACATATCTATCTTATAATCTGCACCTATTACTGGAGTCTAAGTATGTATTTCATCTATTTCTCCTCCCTCATCATTGTTTATGCTGGTTATTACTCACACATACCTTATTTCCTTGTGTGCTTGGTTATTCTTGGCTGTGTGTTGTTAAATTTGTAAAAATATTTATTCATTCATTTATTTAAAAGATCTATTTATTTATTTTAGAGTGTGTGTGTGTGTGTGTGTGTGTGTGTGTGTGTGTGTGTGTGTGAACGCGCGCACGAGCAGGGGAGGGGCAGAGGGAGAGAGAGAAGAAGCAGACTCCCTGCTGTGCATGAAGCCCCACACAGGGCTCAATCTCAGGACCCAGAGATCATGATCTGAACTGAAACCAAGAGTTGAATGCTTCACTAACTATGCCACCTAACCACCCCATTTGTAACAGTATTTATAAGAATTCCCTGAAGTCCTATATGTTCTGATCTTAAAATGATCTGTGTTTGCCACTGTCAAAGGTTTGTCTAGGGTCACTACTGCCTTGAAACTTCTTTAAAACCCGAGTCTTGGGATCCCTGAGTGGCGCAGCGGTTTGGCGCCTGCCTTTGGCCCAGGGCGTTATCCTCGAGACCTGGGATCAAATCCCACATCGGGCTCCCGGTGCATGGAGCCTGCTTCTCCCTCTGCCTGTGTCTCTGCCTCTCTCTCTCTCTCTCTCTCTGTGACTATCATGAGTAAATAAAATAAAAAAATAATAAAAAAAAAACGAGTCTTCCAGGCAAACAATTCTAGGATATAACACCATATGCGAACCTACCCATAGCCACCAATTGTTAGGACAAACTTTTCCTTTTCTTGCTTTTTCTGATCACTTAGTTACCAATGTCACTGTAGGGTTAAGGAAGGCACACATTTAATGCTGGCTTACTCTCACCCTAAGAACATACTACTCTTCTGATAACATAGGTCAATGTAGGGAGGCTATCCAATTTGATTCTCTATCTTGAATTCCCCCACTCCTGACTAGGTTGATAAACGCCTTTAGGCTAAAAGTAGACTATGGGCTCTGGTGTTCTGCTTTATTCCTAAGATTCCTAATTTCCCTCAGTCTTTGGCTAGTAGTTCCCTACTCTCTTGTTATTTGGTGCTTTTAAAGTGACTTCTTTTTTTTTTTTTCTGTTGTATCTTTTATTTTTATTTTTTTTAATAAATTAATTTTTATTGGTGTTCAATTTACCAACATGCAGAATAACACCCAGTGCTCATCCCGTCATTAAAGTGACTTCTTAAAAGGCTGCTGTTTGTAGGTTTTGTGATGTTTTTTTGTTTTTTAAGTTTAATTTTATTTATATTCAATTAATTAACATATAGTGTATTATTAGTTTTAGAGGTAGAAGTCAGTGATTCATCAGTTGTATATAACACCCAGTGCTCATATGCTTGTTTGTTTTTAAGAGCAAAAGTTTGTCCATAGAAACGAAAGTCTCCAAATCATTTCTTAATTATTTACAATGAAATGGTTTTTAAAGAGATGATCGCATTCACAAAATATATTCTTAAAATCATTCCACTGGGTAAATATTTTCAGAGATTATAATCCAAAATAATATACATAATATGTTGGTTGAATTACAGACCCAGGTTTGAGTACCACTTAAGTGACAATTGTTAAACAAAACTTAGAGAATATGCTAACATTTCATGAAAGATAATATTAAAATCTTTCAGCCTAATTATGTGCAAGAACCTTTTTATAAAATTATTTTTATGATTACATATGATGAAAAATATGGTATGCAATAGAATACAAGTATAAATTTGACAATTAGTTCCTTTCCTTGAACACGAACTAGATTTATTTTTAATGTAATCACCTCCACAGCCTTCGACTTTATCACAAAAGATTGTATATTTTGTGCCACTTAGCATCTAACATATGAATAAATAAACCTTGTCTCAGAAGTAAGATTTTTTGCAAAGGTTGTTTTTAGAGGCCCAATGTTTCTGTTCTAATCTCACCAGATTAGCCAGGACCAAATTGCTGTCTCTCTGAAGAGATCTATGTCTGTCTGTCTGTCTATCTATCAGGGAACTACCACCAAAAAAGCACTTTGGGGGATATAATGATTATAGTTTCAATGCTTTAAAAATGTGAAGCTTATAATTTTTGCCTTTAATATTATATGTGTTCAGTAAATGGCTTTATCCTGAAAAGATACAAACCTTCTCAAATGCTGAAAATTGAGGTGAAACATGCCCCAGATAGAAAATAGCAAAGAAAATATATAAAAAAGCAAATAGATTCTTTTTCTAATTACTCAAAAACAAGAGAAGAAGGTTCAGGCAAATAATTTCTCAAAGTCTCAAAAATTACTGACAACATGATATCTGTAATTATTTAAAAACCTCAAAGAAGAAATAAAAAGGTCCAGAGACAAGGTGATTAGGAAACAAGAGAGAGCTGGCTACACATCAGGACATAAATGAAAAATGAAAATAGGAATATCGCAATGACAAAAGAAAATGAAGGGGGAGAGAGAAGCAATATAAATAAAAGGACTTGATAAGATACAATTAGCAGAGAAAATGAGGAAAATGTAACAAAGGAAATCTAATATGTACATAATTGGAGTTCCTAAGATAGAAAAGAAACTGGAAAAAATGCTAAATATATTCTTTTTCTTACCTAGAGAAAGGTTTAAATCTGTCATAAGTATTCATTGTCCCCATTCCTGGTTTTCCTATTTTACATAAACTTTCATTTTCTTTTCCAGACAGTAACATTTTTTCAGAATATAAATTATGAGGCAGTAGATGACTACTTCAAGTTGCAGTAAGTATGGCTTTTAAAAGAACCTACTCGATGTGAACTGTGCTATTGAGATTATTGATTTGCAGGTATTCTTTTACTTAAATGGCCTCATATCATTTTAAATATCTAGATTTCAAATTTCTTTAAATGTCTGGTTAGATGTGAAATTAGTATTCTGTATAAAAATGTAAAATACTCCTTGTAATTAAATGAAATACATCTGGAGGTTTCCATTCGTCCACCAGAAGATGTAAAAATTGGGCTATTTTTTAAATTTAAAACCAACTAATTAACATATAGTATATTATTAGTTTCTGAGGTAGAGTTTAGTGATTCATCAGTTGCATATAACACCTAGGGCTTGTTACATCAAGTGAAAAATGAACTATTTCTTAATTCAATAATTTTTAATCATGTATTACCATTCATTCCCATCCCAAAGTTTTTGCATACTGTCCTTGGGCAGACTAGACCTCTAATATAAGAAAATCCTTAACTATGAGTAAATCAGAGAAAACACCATCTTTGACTCAGAATCAGTAGCACTTGAGCTCATAATTTCTGGAGTAGCAACTTATCTGGAATTGGTCTTGAGACATCTATGGCTGTCATTATGTCCTGACTCCATAGGTTTTTCTGGAAAAACAGCAGTTTTTCTAGGAAAAAGTTCATTTTTTCCTTAGTCTGCTGCTCATCCAAGTGAGTTTGAACACTCACTTTATGCCAAGCACTTCATGCATGTTCAAAATACATGGTGAACAAGTAGGATGAAGTACTGCTGTCCTGGGATGTATTCTAGTGAGAGGAGATGAAGAACAAGTAATAAAATAAATGAAGTAATCAAATAGTTATAAGTGCAGTTAAGAAAATAAAACAGAGGGGCACCTGAGTGATTCAGTCAGTTGAGCGTCAGACTCTTAATTTCAGCTCAGATCATGATCTCAGGGTCATGAGATTGAGCCCCTTGTCAGGCTCCATGCTCAGCAGGGAGTCTGCTTGAGATTCTCTCTCTCTCCCTCTTCCTCTGCCCCTCCTTCCCTGCTCTCTCTCTTTAAAATAAATAAATAAATGTAGAACAAAAGAATGAAGATAAAACAGAATGAAGTGGTAGAAAGTGACCAGGAAGGGGACAGAGAAAAGGGTACTCTAGATACTGTAGTCAAGGGAGACTTATTAATTCATCCCTCACCCCTTCACCCATCAACTTTTCTCTTGATGCTTCTAATGTTGTGGGTTCCTTGGGGTATTTTTGGTTTTGTGAATATTTACTCAGAATTTTGTTGCTGTAGAATACACATCAAATTGTCCAGGATATTTCAGATCAGTCCAAGGCTTGAGAAAACATACCAAAAGCTTTGAAGCCAGCTGTGGTAGGGGGGAAAACACCTACCTATAAGAAAAATTGTATGGAAAATTGTAGATGCAATATTTACTATAGTGTCCTTCATGGATCTATACTGTATTACTGTATTTATCAAAGCAAAGATTCCATTGCACTGGAAAACAAACCATAACTGGTATAATTATAAGATGCTTCCTGATTTCTAAGGTGTTAAATGAGAAAAAATATCTGAGAACTGAGGAAATATGGTACAGTGATTTAAAAATATAAAAATGTGCTATTTGTATCCTCATTTATTACATTTTATACCTAATACATGACAAATAAATATATAAATATTAAAATGTTGAATACTGGGGAAAAAAGAGCATTTGTTTGTGGTTGGTTTGTTTTTCCCAGTTTTTTCAAAAAATAAAAACCTAAGCGGGGGCAGAGTATACATGACGCTTTCAAAATTTTTTCTATGATGTTTCTGAGCACAAAACCATTCTTGTGCACTTCAGAACCTAGAAATTTGATCTCACTTTTGCTTCAGTCAGATCATGGTATGCCAGATAATGTGGTTTGGAAAACTAATCTCCTAACTTGCTCTTTATTGTTCCAAAAGTGTTATCAATAGGAGGAAAAGATCCGTAGAGGCTAGAGAAAGAACAAATAGAGCAGCTGTGGCTTTCTAAGATCATCAGAAAGCAGGACGAGATGTTAGCAGCACAGCCTCCTCCTCCAGGGACGGAGGGTGTTAATGAAATGGGCAGCAGGGTGGAAATGTTGATACATACCCATCTCTGTTTCCCACTGGGCTGACCCTACACTGGCCCACAGTGAGATGGGAGTGACTTCAAGGAGGGACCACAGTGCACAGCTGCTTTAGCAGAAGCAAGGAGCAGTCACCACCACCATTGCCTCCCAGGCCTCTAGAATTCGTCCCAGGGTTCTATCACCCTGTGTACATGGGACTTTCCACGAATTCTAGAGTAGGAGGGCAGACACTCGTGCCTGTCTCCCTTGTGATTCTGTAATCACCTGCATGTGCTGTTTCTCCTAGACACCAGAACACAGGGCTTGTGCTTGTGCAGGTTCGGCCTAATGAATATGCAAGAGCATGTCCAATAGCCCAAAAGGTAAGTGACATAGGTGGGTCAACACCTTTACTTCAGTAACTTGACAAGTGTAAGCTAGATAATCGTTACAAGACCTCCAAGCAATAGGACTCCCCTCACCCATGGCAGTGTGTGTAATGTCTCACTGTAGGGATGGCATTATTTTACTTTGGAGACAGATCACAGTTCTGCCCTCCCTGGGTTTACCATCGAAAGTGAGATATATAAATGCATACAAAAATGTAAAATGATTAGTTTCTGGAGATAAAACTGTATAAAGGAAAACTGAAATGAATGGGAACTAAAATTGGATATGGTTTGTCAGAGAAGATAGCTAGTTATATTTGCACTTATCATTTCTTCATCAAAAAAATTGAAATTTAAAGTTTATTGCATACCTACTGTGTTTCTTTGTTTCAGCCTGTATTCTAGGCAATGCAAGTTACAAAGGTGAAAAGACAGCCTCTTCCCTAGGGGCAAACAAAAGCTAGCATAAGGGAGTGTGAAATACAGCGTTATCAGCCCAGAAGAGTGGGCAATTTTGACTACGAGGCATAGGGGAAGCATAAAATGACTGTTGATAAGTAAGTGGAAGTTGAGCAGGCTGATACAAAGAAAGAGAATTCCAGGAAAATGCATTTACAAAAAGCACAGCACCATGAAAGAGCAATGGGGTGTCCAGGTACCCTCAAGTGCCAGGAAACTGAACACAGATACTTTACTGCCACCACCTCTCCTGAGTCTGTTCTACTCTGAGGGATGCCCCCTCTCTTTATTCCTTCTCAGCCTAACTAACAACCAATAAGTATACACTGAGCACCTACTGTATACCAAGCATAAAACAATGAGGAGTACCTACAAGAAGAATTCAAAGGTACATGATACACAGTCCCTGCACTTCAGGATCCCAGCACAAGGAGGCTGTTCCTACCATGGCAAACATCCATGAATTTGGAGGGAACCCTGAACTGTGAGGCCAGTGTGAGCCAAGCTTGAGCACTGCTGATAATACGTGGCTTCCCCAGGAAACTGCCAGCAGGTGCATACCAACCCTTCCCCTGTCTGCCTTCCACCCCACCTCACCTGCCCAGAAAGCAAGAAACAGCAATGTGGCCAGTTCTTCCCCAGCCCTGGCCTGTGCTTTTCCATCATCAGCTGCATGTTCCACACAAGATGCCTTCCTAAAGCACCTTCCTGAAGCTTTCCTCCATCCCTTCTCCTGTCTAATCAATAGATCTCTTAGGGATGCCACCCACACCATTCCGCCGAGTCCCCCCCACATTCCAAAAGCAGGTTAATGGAACCTGAGTTTGGATCCAAGCTTTGCCACCTGCTGGCTGGGACAAGCCACTAAACACTGACTCTCAAGGGCCTCCATAAAAGGGAAATGTAACATCTATTACCATTGAGAGTATTAAATGAGATCATTAAAATAAAGTGCCCATTGTGGTTTTGATTTGTATTTCCCTGATGACATGCGATATGGAGCACTTTTTCTTGTGCCTGTTGGCCATGTGTAGACAGATGAATGAATAAAGAAGATGTGGTATATATATATATATATACAATGGAATACTACTCAGTCATCAGAAAGGATGGATGCCTACCATTTACAATGAGGTGGATGGAACTGGAGGGTATTATGCTGAGTGAAATAAGTGGATTGGAGAAAGACAATTATCATATAGTTTCCCTTATATATGGAACATAAGAAATAGTGAAAGGGACCATAAGGGCAGGGGAGGAAACTGAGTGAGGAAAAATTAGAGAGGAAGACAAATTGTGAGAGGCTCCTGACTCTGGGAAACAAACTGAGGGTCACTGGAGGGAAGGTGGGTGGAGGGATGGGGTAACTGCGTGACCAGCATTAAGGAGGCCACACGATGTGATGAGTACTGGGTGTTATTCTATATGTTGGCAAATTGAATTTAAGTTAAAAAAAATTAAAAAAAGGTAAAGTGCCCAGCAGTGTCTGTCTCAAAATAACTATCTAATAATATCAGTTTGTTTCTTCTCTTTCCTTCTCACCACACTCCAAAACACGGGCAGCTCAAATCTAGCCCCACTCTGTGTCCACTGCAGGTAGTTTGTGTGGAGTGCAGTGAAGCCACCCTAGTGGGCCAGTCCCCAGAAAGCTGTAGTAATTCCTTCCAGCAAGATTTTCCCAGAGAGAGGTGACTACACTCTAGTGCATTATCTGACAACATTTCTGTGTTGAGGGCCTTTAGAATTCCTGTCTCAGTTCAATTGTTCTGTCCAGTTGGAATGTACTATGTCTGATTCTGAGCTAGGTGAAGAGCAGTCCTGCCTGTCTCCACACTTCAGAGAATAATAATTTTAAAAATTAATAAATATATTTATTATTGTTAATACTAACAATTATTAGTAAGTATAACAAGAAAAAGACTAGTACACTCATTGTTTTCATTTGGGCTGTATGTCAGATTTTTCTAATTAGGTATCCAGTCCTGAGAATATTGTCAGCCCCATAGTAGTGAGTAACCTAGAAAACAGCCTGATTAATGCTTTTCATATTCTTTACCCATGCTTCTGTTCAAGATTCACCTGCAGGTCAACTCAGATTTTTAATCCTAGGCATGGTTGTTGATTTTTGCCAACTGGGTGCCCAAAGAGAAGGGATCAAGTGATGGTGAGTCTTGACAGAAAGACTTGAGGACCTTGGTCAACCAAGTGTGTCATATGGATAGTTTAGTAAAGATGAAGGGCAGTCTCATGCTTCTGAACACATTTGGTGGGAAAACAAAACAAACATTTGGTGCATGATGATGGATACCAAGGACTGTGGTATCTGTGGTTGCTGACAGAACAAATCAGGTCCTGTGACCAAGATCAGGTGGTTCAGGCAATAAAATCCCTGAGCTTCTGCTATGGAGCATGTCTTTCAAATGAAGGCTGAAAGGTCTGGGTTTAGCAGACCTTAAAATCCATTAAGCTTGTCTGGATATCCCAACCCTCCTGATCCCCATGTCTTTCTCCAGGGTGGGGAGTATTAGAGCTTTTTCCAGATTTACCATGTAGAAAAATGCAACATACAGGACATGTTTAAGACAGAAAGCAAGTGTCTAGATCCCATTTAGGAAGCCTGGGGATGGGGTGGCAGGGTAGACAGCAGTAAGTGCCCTGGAGCCAGGTTGAAATAGCAATAGGCAGCTTAGGGAAGAACCAGATCTCTGGTTAAAAGAAGTTAAATTAATAGTTAGATATTAATAAAGCTGGATATGGTTTGTCAGAGAAGACAGCTAATCATGTCTGTATTAATAATTTCTTCATTAAAAAATTGAAATTTGAGTTTATTGCATACCTACTCAGCTGCATCTGAATCAGATGCAAACTGGAAGAACAGAGCTGATGATGATGGTTGTAGAAGTGCTGATAAAAGATGAGGTTGGTTTAGTTCTCTAAGATAGTGATGTCAAAAAGCAGAGAAATAACCTCTGGGCTCTGTGAGCAATAAGGGCAACAAGAAGCAAAAACAAAGAAAAAACATGATCAGAAGGGAGTAATACAGCACAGAAGAGTATAACAAACCTCTAGATTTAAAAGGTTACTATTTCAAATCTAAAATGTAATTGCTTTTAGCTGTAGCAGCATTTTAGATCATGTGAATCAGAACCACTCATCTAACCACTTAAATTACTTCATTTTAGGTGTTCCAAATAGCCGTTGGCTGTGATTCTAATAAATTCATTACTGTTAAAGGGCAAGTATATTTGCATTTGACCTTATTCTTTACATTTTAAAACAAATGGGGAATTACATGGTAATTACTGGTGGTACTATTAGCCTAATGACTGACCTGTTCATAATGAAATCTGAAAATTGAACTGACATTGGCATCCAAAAACCGCATCGACAGTTTGTCAAAACCAAATTTGTTTGAACTTTTTTGCCAAGTCAAATCTTACATCTGAATCATACTAATAGGCAAAAAGGATTAACCTCTTTCCCTATTGCCAGCATTTTTTTCCACCTCCCCTTTTAATAATCCCATTTCCATCCATCACCATTCCCTCTCTTGGCTCCTCGGACTGCACCTCATTCCCAGAGAAATGGGAGGCAGAAACACTTATACCTACTTTCCATCCAATTCAAACCAATTATAATATCATTTCTGTCAGAGAATTGCTTACCTCATGTCAGAGAAGCCTCCATTTTCTGCACCATTTCTCATGGGAAATTTTTTTAGAGCAAACCTCACAGAACCACCAGGGCTTCCTCCAAAAAACCCCAAGGTGTGACTTTCATTGATCTTACTGTGGTTCACACTGGTGAAGCACACTGGATGTCATCTACTTGCCACAGCTCTCTCTCTCCTATAAGGGGAGAATCAAGGTCAGCATGCACAATCCCTTCAAAGCAGGTGAAGTGCATTCTCCAGACAGCAATGTACCACAACTCCCCTCCTGTGGTTAGGAGTGGGAGTGAGCGGCGGAGCAGTGACTCTTATCTGAGCCTATTTATGAAATAACTTGCTCTCATCCTAAATAAATGTCTACTCACCTGCCATTCTAATAATCATTTGAGTATGAAATTGTAATAATCAGTTGCTGGGCTGACAATCAAGCTTTCCCATTTCATTCAGCAAGAAATTTGCATTTACCATAACTCCTTTTCCAGGACACACAAAAGCTAACTGATTTATATGGTGCATGGCATCCTGCTTCTGGAATTATCTATATCCTTGCTTCTTAGAGAATGTTCTGTAGACCAGCCCTGGCATCGCTGGGGGTTGATTAGAAATGAAGGATCTCGGGCTTTATCCCACACCTGCTGAGCCAAAACATCTATTTTAACTAAATTTCCAGGAGATTAGCATAAGCATTAAAATTTGAAAACAACTGCTCTATGCAATGTTACCAAATTAGTTCCCAGTACCACCACAAGCAGGACCACTGAGTCTAGATTTCCTTCTTGAGGGAAATGTAAAGCAGTTAAATCAGTGTGTTTCTGGGAGGATCCAGATAGCAACTGTCAAAGTTGGTTGTTCATTAAACCCACCTGGAGAGCATGTTTGAAAAACACAAATTTCAGAATCTTACTCTAGGCCTCTTAATCAATGACCCACTGTTCTGCAACCCTAAAAATGGCCCTAATATCTTGAGTTCAGGTTGTGGTGGGCCTCAGGTTCACAGTCATAAAAGAAGATCTATAGGGTCCAAGGTAACTGTGACAGGAAAGATTTTCATGATGGAGAACATCTCATGGGGTCTATTTTGGATTTCAGGGTGGGAAATGGTCCAGACTTCCAATATCTATCTAACCACAGTAGTGGTTCCTTCTGGGTTACACTGAAACCAGCCAGCAAAGTGGTCAAATGAATAATTTAACTCAATGAAAACTTTATCAATGTATAGATCATGATAGCTTTATGTTTGCATAAACACTAACCAGAAATTATGTGCATCCTGAAAGTAACTCCTTACCTGCACAGCAGTCTCCAGTAGCAATCAGAAATGTGTGTTAAAAAATTATAAGGAAAAAAAAAATTATAAGGAATAAAATGGTTCAAAGAAATTTATCTTTATTTTGATAGATTTTCATTGAATTCTTCACATATATTAAATACAGATAAATAAATATATTTCAAATTCTGATGTCCTCAGAAACATTTATTTTTTAACATGGAAATGCTAGGGCCATTGTGTACCTGGGTGGCTCAGTTGGTTAAATGTCTGACTCTTGATTTTGGCTCAGGTCATGATCTCAGGGTTGTGAGTTCAAGCCCTGTGTTGGGCTCCACACTCCCTCTCCATCTGCTCCTACCCCCACTCATTCTCTCTTCCTGTCTCCTTCTCTAAAATAAATAAATACTTCTTTAAAAAAAAAAAAAGAAAGAAATGCTAGGGCCACACATTAACCCCAGAATTCTAATTCAGTAAGTGATGATTCTGTGATAGTCTCAAGTTTGAGAATCATGAGTTAAATTATTAAATGTTTGTGCAAGTACATAAGGAATGATATTACAACTTCATTGTGTTTTATTTTTTGTAGATTTAATAAAAAGGACTGTCTTCAGCATGATTTCTTTTACGTTATTGAAAAGTAAGATTTTTAACATAAGAACTGTTTTATATGATTAGTACCAATAATTTAGAATCAGCTAGCTTTTATTCCTATTAACATCAATCTTTTTTAGTATATACATTCATTGCTACAAATTTACCTCTAGGTACTGCTTTTGCTGCATCTCACAAGTTTTGATAAGTTGTGTTTTCATTTTCATTTAGTTCAAAATCTTTTTAAATTTCTCTTTCTTCTTTGACTCATTATTATTTAGAAGTGTGTGTTTAACCTCCACACAATTGGAGAGTATTTTTAAATTAAACTTACTTTTTTAACTTTCGTGATACCTCCTTACCTGAACAGAGTAGTGGTTTTAATTTTTAAGTGTGAAAAGAAGAAGTAATGAAAAATGTCTTTTTTATAGGTCATATCTGAGGAATCAAACATCTAAAAACTTGGTAAGAAAACTATAATTCTATAAATCAGCCAAATACAGAAAATAACTACAGCATTTTTCCTTTTCTAGAGAGTAAAATATAATTGGAAAAAATATGGCTGCCCATTGAGACTTGATTTTGGAGAAAAGTTTCACCCTTTGCTTCAGCTGTAAGTATATTTGCACTAAAATTTTTAACTTACTTTGAAAGTTTCCAATGAAGGTATGAAAACAAAGCTAATTAATCATGCACTCACTAATACACATTTTTGAGCACCTGATATATGCATCTCTAAGTTTTCAGTACTAGTTATACAAAGTTGGACTACTCATGGTGCCTGCAGATTGAGGGAGGTTATAATTTCTCTCCTGAGAACTGAGGCTGTTCTCAGGGACACAGGTGATCACTTCACCCTTGCTTTATTCTTTCTAATCTCTCCTCAGGTTCCTACCAGCACCTCTGCCTGTTTGATAGGAACTACCTTCCCCAGGTGACATAAGACTTCTTTCCATGGACCAACAATAACTGAAAGCTTGCATGGAAAGAAACTAGATTACTAACAGGAATGGTACATCAGGGAGATTTCAAAAATTTTATCTCTCACTTAAGTCTTACAAACAATATTTTATAATAATAGGAATAAAATGCTCTAAGGAAGGCTTTTTCAAGTAATTTTCAATTACTTTATTCACATTTTTAATTTTAGTTTTGATTTATGATTATAAAAGTTACATGGCTTATTAGAAAATTTAAAATATAGAAAAAATAAGTGACAACCAATTTTCTAAAATCTTTTACTATTATAAACAAAATGGTAATGAAAATCCACTTATATATACACATTTGGACAATAGTCCAGATATGCCATTAGGAAAAATTATTGGAAGTGAAATTCCTATGCGTAAAATATCAGTATTTTAGTCAAGGCTTTCAGCTTTTGGGGATCTCTTAGGCTAGATACAACTTCTAGATCTCTCAGGCATAATGATTCCGGTGCTCCAATTTAGTTTTGCTATGGGAGCTTTCCCTCTTGGGACCCAGAAGGTCTCTGCCATCATGTCCTTCTTACCACTCCTCACCCACCGCAGTTCTGAGATTCTGTGCTGTGCTCCCTACATCACTGTCCTACAGTCCCTCTGTCCTGGGTCATCTGGGCTAGAAGGCCAATCTGCTGTCTTCTTAAGTTTTGATCTTTTTCTAGACATCTAATGATGCCACTATTTTTCCTGGCAGCCCTGGACACTTCTTCCCCCAATGCAGCCTCATTTTTTCTTTTGTTTAAGTCCAGCTAGTTAACATACAATGTTATATTAGTTTCGGGTGTACAATATAGTAATTCAAAAGTTCCATACATCACCCTGTGCTCATCACAAGTGCACTCTTAAATCCCTATCACCTATTTCACCCATTCCCCTGCCCACCTCCCCTCTGATAACCATCAGATGGTACTCTATAATTAAGAGACTGTTTCTTGATTTGTCTCTCTCTTTTTTCTCCTTTGCTCTTTTGTTTTGTTTCTTAAATTCTACAAATGGATGAAATCATGTGGCGTTTGTCTTCTCTGACAGAATTATTTTGCTTAGCATTATACTCTACAGCTCCATCCATGTCTTTGCAAAAGGCAAGATTTCATTCTTTTTTATACTTGAATAGTATTCTATTATATATATATTTTTATATATATGTATATACATATGTGTATATATAATGGAAAACAATTTATTATGGGATATATAATATATAATGGAATATTTTCATACACACACACATTTTTATCCATTCATCAATCCATGGACACTGGAGCAGCTTCCATATCTTGGCTATTGTAGATAATGCTGCTGTAAACATAGGGGTGCATGTACCCCTTTGAATTAATGTTCTTGTATTCTTTGGGTAAATACCCAGTAGTGAAATTGCTGGATCATAAGGTACTTCTATTTTTAACTTTTTGAGGAAACCCCATACTGCTTTCCACAGTGGCTGCACCATTTTGCATTCCCACCAGCAGTGCATGAATGTTCCTTTTTCTCCACATATTCACCAACACCTGTTGTTTCTTGTGTTGTTGATTTTAGCCAGGTATGAGATAAAATCTCATCATAGTTTTGATTTGCATTTCTCTAATGATAAGTGATGTTGAGCATATTATCATGTATCTATTGGCCATCTGTATGTCTTCTTTAGAAAAATATCTATTCATATCTATTGCCTATTTCCTAGATGGATTATTTGTTTTTTGGGTGTTGAGTTTTATAAGTCCTTTTATATTTTGGATACTAGCCTTTTATCAGATACATCATTTGCACATATTTTCTCCCATTCCATAGGTTGCCTTTTAGCTTTGTTCACTGTTTCCTTCATTGTGCAGAGTTTTTTTATCTTGATGTAGTCCCAATAGTTGTCATTTTTTTTTTTGTTTTTTTGTTTCTGGTTTCCCTTGCCTCAGGAAACATATCTAGAAAAAAGTTGCTACAGGGCACCTAGGTGGCTCAGTGGTTGAGCGTCTGCCTTTGGCTCAGATCATGATCCCGGGGTCCCGGGATCAAGTCCTGCATCAGGCTCCCTGTAGGAGTCTGCTTCTCCCTCTGCCTATGTCTCTGCCCCTCTCTCTGTGTTTCTCATGAATAAATAAATAAAATCTTAAAAAGAAAAAAGAAAAAGAAAAAAGTTGCTACAGTTGATGTGAAAGAAGTTACTGCCTGTGCAATCTTCTAGGATTTTTATGGTTTCAGGCCTCACATTTAGGTTTTTAATCCATTTTGAATTTATTTCTGTGTATGGTGTAAGAAAATGGTCCAGTTTCATTCTTTTACATGTAGCTGACCAATTTTCCCAACATCATTTGTTGAAAAGGCTGTCTTTTCCCTTTGGATGTTCTTTCCTGCTCTGTCAAAGATTAATTAACCATATGATTGTGAGTTTATTTCTGGGTTTTCTATTCTATTGATCTATATGTCTATTTTTTAAAGATTTTATTTACCTATTCATGAGAGACAGAGGGAGAAGCAGAGACGTAGGCAGAGGGAAAAGCAGGCTCCCTGTGGGGAACCCAATGCAGAACTCGATCCCAGGACTCCAGGATCACTACCTGAGCCAAAGGCAGATGCTCAACCACTGAGTCACTGAGGCATCCCTATACGTCTATTTTTGTGCCAGTACCATACTGTTCTGATTACTACAGATTTGTAATATTAACTTGCAGTCCAGAATTACAATGCCACCACCTTTGCTTTTCTTTTTCAAGATTACTTTGGCTACTTGGGATCTTTTGTGGATCCAAACAAATTATAGGATTTTTGTTTTAGTTTTGTGAAAAGTGTTGATGTTTCAATAGGGATGGCATTACATGTGTAGATTGCTTTGGGTAATAGGGACATTTTCACAATATTTGTTCTTCCAAACCATGAGCATGGAATGTCCTTCCATTTCTTTGTGTCATCTTCAATTTCTTTCATCAGTGTTTTATTTAAGAGTACAGGTCTTTCACCTCTTAGGTTAGGTTTATTCCTAATTATCTTATTATATTGGGTACAATTATAAATGGGATTGTTTTCTTAAATTTTCTTTCTGCTGCTTCATTATTGGTGTATAGAAATACAACAGATTTCTGTATATTGATTTTGTAGCCTGTGACTTGACTGAATGTTTATCATTTCTAGCAGTTTTTGGTGGAGTCTTTCAACTTTTCTATATATATAATATCATGTCATCTGCAAATAGTGCATGTTTTACTTCTTCCTTACTGATTTGGATACCTTTTATGTCTTTTTGTTGTCTGATTGCTGTGGCTTCCAGTACTATGTTGAATAAAAGTGAGAGTGTACATCCTTGTTTTGTTCCTGACCTTAAGGGTTAAGTGCTCAGTTTTTTCCCATTAAGGATGATGCTACCTAAAGGTTTTTCATATATGGCCTTTCTGTTGAGGTATGTTCCATCTAAACTTATTTGTTGAGGGCATGTTCCATCTAACCTTACTTTGTTGAGGGTATGTTCCCCTAAATCTACTTTCTTGAGGGTTTTTATCATGAATGGATGTTGTACTTTGTCAAATGCTTTTTCTGTGTCTCTTCATGATCATATGGTTCTTATCCTTTCTCTAATTGATATGATGTATCATATTGATTGACTTGTGAATATTTAACCAGACTTTCAACCCAAGAATAAATCCCACTGGATCGTGGTAAATACTTTTTTTAATGTATTATTGGATTTGGTTTACTAGTATTTTGTTGAGGATTTCTGCATCTGTGTTTATCAAGGATATTGGCCTGTAGTTCTCTTTTTTGTACTTTATTTATCTGGTTTTGGTATCAGAGTAATGCTGGCCTCATAGAATGAATTTGGAGGTTTTCCTTCCTTTTCTGTTTTTTTTTTTTTTTTTTGGAACAGTTTGAGAAGAATAGATATTAACTTTTCTTTAAATGTTTGGTAGAATTCACCTGTGTAGTCATGTGTTCCTGGACTTCTGTTTTTGAAAAGTTTTTAAGTACTGACTTCATTTCTTTGCTGCTTATTGATCTGTTCAAATTTTCTGTTTCCTCCTGTTTCCATTTTGGTATTTTATGTTTCTAAGTATTTATCCATTTATTCTAGGTTGTCCAATTCATTGGCATTTTGGTTTTTCATAATATTCTCTTAAAATTGTATTTAGGGAAAAAAATTGTATTTACGTGGTGTTGGTTGTGATTTCTCCTCCTTCTTTTGTGATTTTTGAAACCTTTCTCTCTCTCTTCTTTTTCTCTCCCATTGATGATTCTGGCTAGAGGTCTATCAATTTTGTTGATCTTTTCTAAGAACCAGCGCCTGGTTTCATCGAGCTCTTCTATCATTTTTTTCGTTTCTATATCATTTATTTCTGTTCTAATCTTTACTACTTCCTTCCTTCTACTGGCTTTAGGTTTTATTTATTGTTCTTCTTCTAGTTCCTTTAGGTGTAAGATTAGGTTATTTGAGATTTTTCTTGCTTCTTGAGGTAGACTTGTATTACTATAATCTTCCCACTTAAAACTCTTTTTGTAAGCAGCCTGGGTGGCTCAGCGGTTTAGCGCCACCTTCAGCCCAGGGCGTGATCCTGGAGACCCCGGATTGAGTCCCACGTCGGGCTCCCTGCATGGAGCCTGCTTCTCCCTCTGCCTGTGTCTCTGCCTCTCTCTGTGTGTCTCTCACAAA